AAACGCCCGTTCCCATGGTCCGATCATGCTGGATCGCGAACTCGTTCAAATAAACGTAGGTTTACACGTTTATACCAAATTTAATCAAAATCGGATCATTTTTGCTCGAGTTATCGTGCTAACGGACACATATATATATATATATATATAAATATATATATATATATATATATATATATGAATTTGAACGGATGGTGTTTTTGGCCTCTAGGGACCTCAAAACGAAAAAAAAAATCGGTCCCGCGTCCAGGTCTTACCATGAGTACTACGGTAATAGCTTATTCCCTATATGGGAAATTCGCTAAAAGAGGAAAGGTTTAGGCCATTGTGCATTGCTTCTCAACTAGGAGAACCCATATACCAACCTTTATTAAGACGTGTTTAAAAATAAGCTAAATATGCAATTTTGTTTATTTCGCTTAATTTAATTAGTTTTTTATATTTTACAATATTTTAGATTTTGACAAAAATTATCCCAATAAAAGGTACCTACTGTATAGATAAATTCACATTTCCTTGTTCTCTGTTAAATTCTACAACTTTTGGTAAGGTTGCAAGTCAAAAGCTTGAATGGTTAGGCTACTACATGGAGAGCTGTCAAAAACAAAAAATAATTTTAAATCAAGATTTGTTTGAAAATATTTTATTTATAGTCACAACCAACATGTTTGCCCAAAATAGTAATGAAATCTCCTTGAAATTTAATTTTCTCTCTATCAATGCAAGTTTGATTAAAATATCTTGTCAAATTTTCAATATAGAGGTAAAAACAGATATACTCAGAAAACCTAAAATAACACATTTATACGCATAAATAGAAAACGAGTGAGTTAAGGACTTATAGGAAGTTTTTTTTCTAGTTTTGATCCACGGAACCATTTCCTGAAGTTGTCAGGGTTCTCGTGAAACACCCTGTATATTAGCACATAAAGCCAACTACCAAGTTTCTTTAAAATGCATTCATAAACAAGAAATATATATTATATGTGTACTGTATGGCATATGAATTATTCTCGATAAGAAAAACATGGGGACTGAGTACAAAGGTTTGCCGCAACAAGGAATACAAAATATGAGTTTTTATGCCAAGATTAATAGAACTCAACTAGGTGAAACGACATACAAAGTTTTATTAATTTATATGCATAATTAAAGGAGACGTAGCTTTTAATTATTCTTTATGAGAATGACATAGGGGCTGAGTAGGCAGGTTTGCTGCTACAGGAGCATTTGGAGGAAAAATGTGTTTAGAGAAAATATCAATAGACCACAACGAGAAGAAGCCGTATACCAAGTTCCTTCAGTATACGTTCACGCGAGGTGTACAACTTTTCTATTCCCCCATAAGAATAACATTAGACAACGTACTGTCTTTAGCACTTTCAATACCTCGGTAACCAATTGGCGTAGAGAAATGATCGAAATACCAATTTGTGTGTTTTTTAAAGCTGTATCCAATGGTAACAACTAAAATTTGAATGTTTCAAACATTAAATGTTAATTAATGTCAAACTTTAGTGTTAAATTACTTGAAACCACCATTTTTGGGGTACAAAATCCCCCCCCCCCCAAACACCTCTTCGGATTAAACGATCTAACTGGTTTTTTAAGCTTTAAGTCTGATATGCTACATTAATGGTTTGTACTAAATTTCATCAGAATCAGACGATTTTTACGTGAGTAATAGCTAATTTCCTAATTTTAAACACGAGCGAAATTTGCTATATGCCGTTAGAACATTTTACGAAGATTGTGAAATTCCCGCACACACAATAGTTGGGGAACTCTTCATTTTTGTTCATTAGACCAAAGTAAAGCCATCCATGAAAAAAATCCGGACTTTAATGTTTCCCTAGTCAAAATCTATATTTCCTGGACTAACTGCTGAATCACGAATCAACAATTATTAGGCCTACAATCGTTTTAGTAGGCTACTTATCTGCAATCATCAATGATACGTAACTCTATTTTTATTTAAGTTATTTCATAGGTCTTGGTCTTAAAATACTTCAAAGGCTTTCACTTGAGATATTGATAGTTTTAATCAGTTAAGTTCAAGATACTGTATCACTCAATCAGAAAATATAAATTTGATTATATCTTGGATATGGAATTTAGTTTTAGATATACAGGGTGACACAAAGGAACCGGACGTTTTTTTAAATAAGTAGTACACAGTAGTTAAAAGGAATAAAATAGTTTTAATATTGTACATAGTGAGGTAAACATTTGCCATTTGTTACAAAAGTCATTTTTTTATGAGTCATGCATATGGTGGCCATGTACTTATCTACAAATGTTCTTTCTAAACCTGAAAATCATCTGAAAATCGGGTCAGGAGGTCTTGTTCAATGACATTGATATCTTCTGTGATTGCAAACTTCAAATCCTCTAGAGTGCGTGGTTTGTGAGCATGAACACGCTCCTTAAGAAACCACCAAAGGATATAATCACTAGTGGACAAGCCATGTGATCTTGGCGGCCACGGTATGTCACCAAAAAAGCGAGAAATCACCTTGTTAGGAAACATTCATTCAATACTGCTCTCACTCTGGCGATGTTTTTGGGTGTTCTCGAAGTTCTAACAAGGCCTGGTGGTTTCTTTCTTGTTATATTCCCAGTTGTTTGGAACCCTAAAACCCATCTTAATAGCATATTTCGGCTTGGAACCGTTTCATGGCGTTCAATATTAAAATGTCGACTAAATTCCCGCTGGATTTGACGACTGATTCACAATTTCGGAGCAAAGTATTGTATGCGAAAACGCGATGGTCTAGGGCCCACTGAGCCATTTCAACAAAAATGGCAAGCCTCACTGAAGGTAATGACAGAACTTTAATCTTCCTACCACATGCACCAACAATGGAACAGCTGTTTAAAAAACGTCCGGTTCCTTTGTGTCACCCTGTATTAACTTAATTCTAATTACGTTATTCTATTTGTTTTGACCTAAGAACCTTCAGTGAAATACCAGCTTCCATTTGATTTATTAATTATTAAGATCGGACGTACCTAAAGCACACAGCTAAATCACGAACAACACAAATTGTTCAAAAAATGGAGTTATTTATCATCGATTTATAGTCAAACGATCTTGCTTGCAACCTCAACAGTAACTGTCGACTTTGACGGGTTTCACCTAGTTAATCTTAAAGAATATCAAACTTTTATAATTATTTGCAAATATACACAAATTAGGCTTTCCAATGAACTATTAATTAATGAAATCTGTTCAGTAGAACTGTAGATTTAATTGTACAAAGTTTAACAACAACATCTTTAATTCAGTATTTTATCACCACTATAAATTGGGAGGTTGCTTAACGTTTTTGCAAATAACTTTGAAACGGTGAGGAAATCGACCAAAGTGGAAGGTGATATCCTGAAAGAGAATAAAATTTCCTACAAATTACTACTATGCATTTCTTGAAAATGCTGAATAAAGGCAGCATAAAGTTGGCTACAAATTTAAACTTGGAAATATAAACTTGGAAAAAAATGAGTTTTAAATGTATTATTGTTTATTTTTATTTTTAAACCTCAAATATGTAATAAAATCAAACTTTCATAATTATTTGCAAATCTACTTAAATTAGGCTTTCCAACGACCCATTAAGTAACAAAATCGGTCCGGTAGAAGTCTAGATTTAGTTGTACAAAGCTTAACAAAAATTATCTAATTCAGTATTTTCTCACCACTATAAATTTGGAGATCACTTAGCTTATTGCCAATAACTTTTAAATGAAGGGGAAATCCACCAAAGTGGATAAAATATTCTGAAAGACAATAAAATTTACTACAAATAACTACTATGCATTTCTTGAAAATACTTAATAAAGGCAGCCAAAAGTTGGCTACAAATAGAATCATAAAAACAGAAACTTGAAAAATCAGTGTTTAATGTATTTTTTGTTATTTTTACTTTTTCACCAAAAATATTTAATAAAATTACAATTTTATAATTATTTGCAAATCTACATGAGTTAGGCTATCCAATGACCCATTAATTAACAAAATCGGTCCAGTAGAAGTCTAGATTTAGTTGTACAAAAATATCCCAAACTCAATATTTTCTTATTACTATAAATTCGGAGGTTGCTTAGCATTTTTGCAAATAACTTTTAAATGGTAAGGAAATCGAGCAAAGTGGAAGGTGATATTCTGAAAGAGAATAAAATTTCCTACAAATTGGTACACTGCTTGGAAATACTCAAAAAAGGCAGCCAAAAGTCGCACCCAAATAAAAAGTGTGAAAAACACATTTTTCAATGTATTTCTTATGAAAAACATGTTTTTTTATATTTTTCACTATAAATCATAAGAAAAACAAACTTTCATAATTATTTGCAAATCTACACGACTTAAGCTATCCAACGACCCATTAATTAATAAAATCGGTCCAGTAGAACTCTAGATTTAGTTGTACAAAGATTTGTTTAAACTGAATTATATATAGAATAGATGTAAATGTTTGGTTTATAGCTTAAAGCATACAAATATTTTATATGTTATGTAGTACCGGTATTTGATTGTTTTACATTTTAAAGGTTACTACTGTATATTTACTTGAGAAAGTTAACCATTTTGAAACTGTATTTATTTTCTATCCTTTGATCCTGACAAAAGTTGTTTCAATATGCTTTTCAGATGAAACATAAAACAATCATTGGAATGATTTATTTAGTTATTTGAATGGTTTTAGTCATTGTGATCTATGGAGATCAGAGTAGCCATGTCTTGACACTTCATTGGTGGTACATGTTTAGTAGATAATGGGTCTTTTCTCACAACTGACTAAATCATGGTTATCTCACATCACGTTCCTTGGTTTGACAATAGTAAATATATTTCTTATTTTCATAAATATTGCAGCTATTGTAGGCCTACACTTTCCATATTATTTATTTGTTGCTCTGGATATGGCTTTAAGTGCTATACAATATGTAATTATTCTGGGAAGTTCCATTTGCTGAAACTATTTTGTGTTTTTTTTTTTCAGCTAAAATGTGGCTTGATATCAGAGTCAATTTTCTTCTTCTATTATTCATTGTTTCTCCCACACTTGAGCGAAGGTACAAGAGGCAAGGTAAGATTAAAACACATTTTAAATTAACTATACCTACTACCTAACATAGTACTATACCTGTGATAACAAGAACATGGCAAAATGGCTTTTTCTTCTGGTTCTATATTCATTTATGCTTTTATTTATAGTCCTTATGAACCAAAAACCACCTTTTTAACCTGTCTACACAAACAAATTTGCAGTTAACAAATAATAATATTCCTTTATATTTTATCTATTCCAAATAAATAGTTTATAAACATTTTTTTTGTTCAACAAATTTAAATGTTATCATGATAATATGTCAGATCTCACTTTTTGTAGGCCGAATTTAATTTTAAAGGTCCCCACACGAACAGACTACTTCTAGATGATATTCTTAAATTCAAGAAAGTGTATACAGGATGTCTGGCCATTTCCAACTCAATTACTAAAAGGAAAAAATAAATTAAGATTTTTAAGCTATTTAATGATAATTGGTATGAAAAACTATCATGTTAAAATAAATCTTATCGTTCATCATTTAGGACATTTGCAAGATTCTTATACAATTTTAGATAACAATAATACATAAACATTGGGGTATTGTATAAGTTTCTACTAAGTTTTATCATAAAAGCATAAAATTTTGACTAAGGCTAAAATTTATTCAACACTTAGGAGCTTTGTTTCTATGTATCAGAGTTCCGATAAAGATATGAAATATTATTAAAAACATTCCCATTAATTCAGTTTTAATGATAGTGACAACACCGAACTTCTTTTCCATTTCATAATGAAATTTATTCATACTTAGAAAACACACTGAGGTTAAAATCAGGTATTTTGGAGAATATACGAGATTTCACAAACTATTTTAAGCCCAATTTAATGATAATTGGGTTTTTCTTTTGAGGTTAGGATAAGAGTAGCCCTACTGAGTGCTAACATACCGACTTCCATTTGTTAACCGAATTTCCCATACAGGGAATAAAAAATAACTGTTACCATAGGTTTCATGATAAGTTCTACATCTAGTAAAATCTTTTTTACGTCCAGAGGCCATAAACACCAGTCATTCAGATTATGTATATGTGTCTGTTGATAACATAACTTGAGTAAAAATGGATGGGATGTATGGGTTAAAATGATTTTTTTCTCATTTTTAAGCCTCAAAACAAAGAATTTCCCAATTTTTCTGTAAAATAATTTAGTATAGGTAGAACTAAAAACAAACAATTTAGTATGAAGTATTATTGTACTATCAATGGCCGAGCAGAGGATTTAAAAAAAATGTATATTCTAGTTTAGAATAAGTAAATTGTTGAAAGGATATATTTTTATCAAACAAATTTATTTATGTTATACTAAGCTATTAACATTTTATAAAAAACACACACTTAGAACTTTTTCTGTAGCGGCGTTTGATCCTGTTTGAACGTGTTTGATCCTGAGAAAATTCAGTAGCTTTTTAAAAACTGGACCACAGATGTCCCTGATCATTGGGTTTTGAATATATGGCTACTGAAACAGCAGATCTTTCACTGTAGTGATTAACTAAGCTAGAAAGATCATCTCACTCCATTCTACACTCATCTACATTTGGGTTTACAATACACACCTAGGTAGCTATAATCCCATCTCAATTAACTGATAATAACAATTAAAAGCTTAGTTTGATTTAAATAGGAAAATATAAATATGACAATTTCAAGGGTGGGGATGGGTAGCAGGAAAATATTTCAGTTCTGGCGGGGAGCATGTAACCCCAATTTTTAAGGACCTCGGTCGTCTGTAATGCCGTCATCAATATGGCGGCCGTAAGAGGATGCTGGGTCGCCATGAATTGGTTATACTGTAACACTCAAATGCCTGAACCGGTTTTAATGAAATTTGGCATACACGTACTTGAATACATTATCTGGGCACAGGTTGTCAATGGTCGAGTTTGATCAAGTCGTTTCAAAATGGTGGCCATTAATAAGTAAAATAATAAAAAAATGTCATTGTTTTGAGTTATCATCTCCCTCCAGAGATCTGCAGCAACCTATTCATTTTCGTTGCATCACAGGTTGTGATAGAGTCTCTGCATTTCATGGAATAGGCAAAATACCCCCACCAAAGCAAACCTGCAGATTAAGTGAGTTTCCATTTCCCTGATTTGATTTTCAAATTAAATCAATTTCAATAACATTAGGTTTCATGAGTACCTAGGTTTGCTGCTACAGGGAGAGTAATAAAGTGAGATTTATTAATATATTAATAGCATAGTTTAAAATAAATAAATTTGCCATGTTTCATGAAAATATTTCATAAACAAGCAAGCCACAACAGGTTATGTACTCTCCGTAATAATAACATGGGAATTTTAAATATACAATGTTTTGAATTTTCTCTGTGACGAATTACCTTATAATACCCCCGCCGCAACCGCAGCAAACCTGCAGAATAAGTGTTTTTCCATTTGCCTGATTTAATTTACACTAAAATATCTCCTTAAAAATATCACATTTATTTCCCATTTAAATAGCATTGGTTTAACGAGTACTTAGGTTTGCTGCAACAGGGAGGGTAAGAACGTGTTTTTTTTTTGTGAAATGTAATAGTTTAGCATGTACCGTTGGTGTGGTGGGGGTATTTTGCCTATTCCATGAAATGCAGAGACTCTATCACAACCTGTGATTGCAAGGAAAATGAATAGGTTGCTGCAGATCTCTGGGGGGAGTTGATAACTCAAAACAATGACATTTCTTTATTATTTACTTATTAATGGCCGCCATTTTGAAACAACTTGATCAAACTCAACCATTGACAACCTGTGCCGAGATAATGTGTTCAAATACGTGCACCCACCTAACGTCGCAGCTACTACGCCTTCACTGCAGCTACTACGCCTTCACTGCAGGCTGGGCGTCCATCGTAGCCCCAATCGAGACTACAGCCGGTAGTCCTCGGCCCCATCGGTCTCCGCCTCCGTCCTGGGTGTCTGTCTGGTTCTGCACACAGACTCGTGATGTCGCGGTACCTTAAACTTAGCCGACTCAACCCGCCACTGTAGCATAGGGTTCGAGCTCACCCGTCAACCACGGCTACAGGCTGAGGTGCGTTCCACCCCCCCCACTCGTCGTCGTAGGCTGGGGCACAGCCATCCTCACCTGGTCTTCGCCGCGGCCTGGGTTTTCCAGCCCGCGCGCCCTTTGTCGCTGACGTCCTGAGTGTCCGGTTTCTCACACGGACATGTGTCACTGCCCCGTCCGCCGCAGTGATCTGCGTGGTGGCCGTCCGTTCGTAGTTGTTAAGTGCCACCCCCGATGCGAGCTACTTGCACCCTTCGCATGTAGCCGTCGGGGATCCGGTTTATCACATGGTCCCGTGTCACTGCCCCGTCCGCCGCAGTGAGTCCCGTGGTGGCCGTCCGTTCGTAGTTGTCGTTTGCCACCCCCAATGTGAGCTACTTGCGCCTTCCGCAGGTAGTCCTCGGGGATCCGGTTTATCACACGGTCCCGTGTCACTGCCCCGTCCACCGCAGTGAGTCCCGTGATGGCCGTCCGTTCGTCGTTGTTGAGTGCCACCCCCGATGCGGATAGTCCTTGGGTTTACACCACGCCAAGATCCACCACAACGGTTCAACACTCGTTGGGTACACGTAGACCAAGCCCCGGTTGTCTCGCTGACCGTTGTTCTCCGTTGCAATAGTTGGTTTATCACGCAACCACTGCCGCTGGATAATCAATCGAAGCACACCGAAGCTGGCCAAATTCAATTCGTATAGGATGAGATTAAATTGTTTTGGGCTTACTAAAAATGGATTAAAAATACACTGACCTCGTAATATTGTATTCGTTACGTTATGGGTTTAACACACCATCATAATCAAGTCAACTTTGTCTAAGTCCATTGGTTTAACAGGAGTGAAAATATAAAATCTAGTAAAACTGATTTTAAAAACTAGTATTTTACACCCTGGCAATACTACAACTCGGTTTACCTTATAGGCTATTTATTGAAATATAATACTTACAATTTTACTTGTAGTATCACGCGAGCTAACTAATGCTTCACCCATAACGATGTCGGGACTAACTCGAACTTGTCGTGGTAGTTGTTGGTGAGGAACTCTCCTATCTCGTGGCTGGTGAGGAAGTGAGGAACTAACAAACTAACTTTCCCGCTTGCCGCCGTCTGTCTGAGGGTTCCTCGGTTCATCCCTCTCGCTCCCCTCTCTAGCAAAGTAGGGGGCTCAGCTGATCCGGAACGTTTGCTTGCTGTTTGCTAGCCCGAAAAAAAAGCTAGCCGGCCGCCGTCGTCTGCAGCCGCTAAATCGTCAGTTGCTCGAGCTTTTTGTTGTTGTAGACCGTAGGTTATGTTGTGTTTGTTTCACACGACAATGAGTTTTAACTTCAAGTTGTCGGTTTATATTATTCACTCCGCATTTCCTCACGTCTTTGTGACGGATTATTGGCCTAAGGCCGCGGCTCCACTTGCCGTAGATTGCAGCGCTGCAAATTGTAGCTGGTCAGTTGAAGAAATGGGAAGGCAGCGATCAAACGAAGGTGGCTCCACTAGCGACAGTCTGCAGCGCGCTACATTTTACGGCGCGCCGTAGAATGTAGCGTCGCGCGGGAATGGAACTCGGACCATTTTCACGCTACATTTTGTAGCGAACAGGTGGCTCCACTAGCTGTAGATTGTAGTGCCGCGTCAAAGTGTACGTACAACCGACCAGCATACAGGCACGAGACACACGCTACAATCAGTATCGACTTTTTAGTGTCCTTAGTTTTTGATTTTTGTGGATTGATTTGTAATCAATGGAGCCTGAACTATAGACTGTGAAATTATTATATTATAAATTTATAACTTATTATATCGGGAGTGTGGGGATCTTGTTTTATAGAGGTTGTGTAGGGGGTTTCTACTTTATACATATTATAAATTAATACAGTAGTGATTGGAGAAGCAAATACGTAAACACATTCAATTTGTTTTTAAATGCAGCAGTCGTCAAATTGTTATGATTAGCCCTATAATGAAAAGTTCCT